AAGAAATTCTGCTCCTAGCCCAGTTAACACTACTGCCTCAAGCATTTCCCTCCCTGCTATTACCAGCACGTTTACACAGGCAAGGAACTTAACAGCTCTTCTAAAGTTATCCAGGTGCCAATTACAGCCACAAAAGAAAAGCAAAAGGAAAAAAGGGCTCAGGCAGTCAGAGAGCTCTGCAGGTGGCACCAGGCAACATCACACTTGCTGAAACACGTCCTTTTGCACAGAGAAGGAAACAGGCCAATATTATGGCAAGTTGTGCCCTTCCCACAGTGCTGAAAAAAATCACACGCAGCATCAAGTAAGGCTCGAAGATAAGCTGGGATAAAAAATGGCAAAAGCACGCACACCAGGACATTCTCTTGCTTCCAAGGTAAGACCAATCATTCCTCTAGGAAAAGGGAGAGGCAAGGGTTTATCGAGCAATGCACAACTTAGCAAGTCAGTTTAACAGGTACCAGCAGGGTTTGTGCACAGAGAAAACAAAACTCAGTGGGTTTAGTAGTTAAAACCTCAGTGTAAACTACTGCCTGGTTAGAGCAGTAAGCTTCCCACAGCAGTTTCAGGTGCTTTCCTTTGTAGCTCAGCCCCAAAGTAGAAACTCCTCTCCACTGCTCCTGAGAGAGGCAATTACTTGGAACTTTGGTGCTCGGGAAAGCTAGTCCCTCCCCTAAGTCCTGGCTTACCGGCCCGAGCACCTAGAGTGCTTATATCCCACCTCCCTCCCTGCTTTGCATGTTCATATCAGTAAAAGAAACCTCCAAGCTCTTCCTCCAGTCCGAGCTGCATCTTCTCTGTACTCCCCCACTCCCCCACCTGTTCACGTGCGCTGCTCCCCTCTCCTGCGCTGTTTCCCGGCACACGGCTCATCCCTCGGCCCCTTCCTTGAGCGATGATCCAGGGACCTCAGGTGCTTGCCCCAGCGAGACGCTCTCACCGTTACTCCTTGAAAGACTGCTCCCCGGCAAAAGCTCCCTACAAAAAGTGGCCCAGATAACCACTCAGCAGGGCCCACCCCTCGTCATCCTCACTGCCCACACCTGGGGCTGTCCCGCTCATTTGTCATCCTCACTGCCCACACCTGGGGCTGTCTCGCATGGGAGAGGACAGAAGGGTGCATGGAACCACAGGCGAGCCGGGGAAAGGGGCCGGCGCCAGCCGAGGGGCGCTGCCGGCATGAGCAGGAGGCAGGGGCTGTTCTCAGGCGGGGCCCGGGACCTGCGCTGGCTCATGGTGCTTCGCTCTGGGGTTCTTTTGGGCTGGGGTTGGGTGCGGGTTTTGAGGGACTGCGCACACCCTCCCCTGAGTCACAGCTCCGCCCCAGCTCGCTGCACCCTGCTGCACTCCCTGCAGCCCTTGCTCAGCTGCGTGGGGATTAGTGCCTCCTCTGCAGGTGGCAAATGTCTGCAAAGCGAATCGGGAAGCCACTGCCAGTCTTTCTTTTCCAGCCTTTTCTGCCCAGCACCGCAGTGGTCGAAAAGGAAACCAGAAAAACACGACCCCCCCCCCCCCCAAATCGCACCATGCCAAGTCCCAGCTTCTCCCGCTAAGCCCAGGCAAAGCTGCAGCCCTCGGGCCCCACCGCGCCATCTGTGAGGTCACCCGGCCCCCCCTGCACCGCCCAATTTCCAGAGCTTCTCCTTCAAAAGCAAAGGTTTCTTGGCTTGCCTTGCTCCTGGGGGATGCAGCAAAAGACCTTTTAAATCTACTGCTGGCAGAAACACGGACCGGGTCTCAAAGGATTAACTAAGGGAGAGATGGTACCTCGCTCCAAGAGCTCTGCCTACGTAGCATAGTAGTCATAAATTAAGATAAGATGAGCATCATCCAGGGAGACAACGAAGCAATGAGTCACCTGTCAAAATTGTTCAAGAAGAACACGAGATCGTGACCTGTTCAGAATGTTCTCAAGATCCTTCTATTCCTAAAGTCCCGCTCCCTAACGAGGGATGGCTGCAAGTAACAGCTGCGAATACAGCCGGGAAGAAGGCAATTAAAGAGATCCGAGTCGGCGCTTCGGAGACGGGATACTCGAGCGCGTCCGAGCCGACGAACGAACGATACCCGCGCCGGGCCGCAGAATGCCGACGGCCGAGACCTAAACGAGGATGACGACGGATGGATCCGATAAGCCTATGGAGGGCAGAAAGCAAAGACGTCTGATCCAAAGGACTCCAAAGATGAGGAACGTGGACGAGATGGACTAGACGACCTAGACTGGAACTGCTCTGCCTCGACTGCACTGATGTTAAGGTCAAACGTAATCTTCGGCATTGATTTATCTTCAAGGGCCATTTTACCTATGCTAATTTCAAAAGCTCTCCCAAAAATCCACAAGCCCATACCCTGCTCTCATCCCCTCTCATCTCGTCCCCGACTTATCTTTCCGACGGCCGGAGACGCGAATCCGTCGGTGACGCTGAGAAGGGCCGCTGCGGTGAGCTGAAAGGCTCCTCGAGTCCCCAGGTTATTTTCTTAGCTAAAAGAAATGAAACTGAGAATCACTCCCTGCATTTAGCACTGCATCTGCAAAAACACAACGATCCCCCTACTCACCCTATCTTAACTGCACTGAGGTTCTCATGCTACTGTCTCCGGTCATGGTAATCGTAGTGTGGCATATCTGAAACACACAAAGAGAAAGTGACATGACCTTTCTGAAAATTCAGTGGACTTGGGCTCTGCCTCATTACCTCCCCGACTCACCGGAAGGCTCCTCTCTTTCCAGCTGCTATTGAGACCGCCCCTGCAAATAGAATGCAGAAACGCTCAAATTGCTGAGCTCTCAAACATTTAGAGATTCCTCATGCCCGTGTACCTCCTCGTAGCCATTATATCGGTCTCCTTTACCTCGAGCTGTTATCGGACGGACCTCCGGCACATTCGGCAGCCCGCCAAAGGGTTGCGTATCGCCTAGGAAAAAAACCCAAACAATTGCAATATAGATGCGCTGACTGACCAAATAGACAACATCCAAAAACTAACACCACATTCGGTCCGGGAACAAAATTCTCACCTCGCTCTTCTCCCTGCTGTGCCTCTACCCCTCGAGACCGATTGTGCCCCATCTGGAAAATAAAAAACAAAAACACACAAGAGAAAGGACTCCTATGGCTAAAATTGATACCTTTCATCAAACACCTAATACCACCTTCTTCCTCGGCTTCTTCAACTTGTCTCGCTCTGGGGTACATCGTGTCCGCTTATCTGAAAAACAAAACAAAGAAAAATTAAGATTAGGCACGTTGCCCACATGGTCCCCGAGATGTTGACCATTTAGAAATCTCATTTCTACAAAGCAAATGAGAACTCTGACTGCAGCGTGCCAGAAAAGAAATGATGACCCGGCTTCGAGGCCCTGCTATCTGAGTACCATCAGCTCCACAACACAGCTCTAACGATTAGACAGAAATTACATACGCTTGCTCAATTTGCATGACTGTACAGCCTTTGTCTCAACTCTGTAAGCTAACTGACATCTAACTCAGAGCAATAGTCCATCTACCCACTGTTCTACGGAGCAGGGCAGAGCAGCTCCAGGCTGAGCCCAGGTGAGACATCCCATACCCGTGACAACACAAACCGTGGTACACAATTCACAGACAAACCTCTCATTGACAAAATTTGAATGCGAGAATGGAGATGCTGTAGAAAAACACGACCTAGAGGACTACCGGGCTAAGATGACTAGGCTCAAAGAATCCTGAAAAACAAAGACGCTAACAAGGTGACGCGTCATAGGAAGTGCCCATCAAAACCGTGAAGACGGATGCGTGACGTGACCACGTCCGGAAGCTAAGAAGGGCACGATGCGCAAGATGATTCTTTCTGCTTTATCGTGGGTGGCTGGAGAGCATCGCCGATGATATGGCCTGGAACGAGGTCTTAAAAGATGTGTGACCGTACAAGTCAGAGATATGATTCCAAAAAAAGGCCTGAACTTGCAACTCAAGTGACTGACAACTTCACTACTCAGCTACACAGAGAAAACCTTCAAGAGCCTAATGATGATGCCTGACGCTTCCCATAAGCCCCTCGAGGGCAACGTGAAAAACCCTAACGACACAGAACACGGAGGAGACGAAGGACACGACACAGCCTGGAACTGCTCTGCCCTGCACACCTGAATCCAATGATAAAAAGTAAGCCCTTCCTCTGATGTGTCCAAATAACCTCTGAAGGGACACCCATTATGCTATACTAATTTCAAAAATCCCTCCAGGCAATTCACATAACTTGGACCGACTCCCAACCCCTCTCCGGATCGTAGCCCTCCACTTATCTTTCGGAGAGCTGAGTGTGCGAATCCATCTTTGACGCAAAGGAAGGGCACCTGCGCTGCATCGGAGGTTCCTGCCGTCATGGGATTACTCTGAGCCAACTACAATAAAGAAAACCAGACACGACACATAAGTTGTGTGGCACGTGCCATGAACCCCGATGATCCCCCTACTCACTGTCACCCGTGCAGGTCCTCGGATTGCCGGATCAAACGGGAGTAGTCGCACGCTGTGGCTGTCATCTTCCGGGTTACCTGAGCGAGTGAGAGATAGAATTAGAGAGAATTTCTAAAGCTGTGGTGGATCCCTGCTCCTCCCGATGCCCCCCCGACTTGCCTCCAATGCCCGGCCGCTCCCCAAGGTTTGCCGAATGGCACCTGCAACTGATGAAGCCCGGGGCTTCGTTGCTGATCGGCACCTGCAACCGATAAAGCTCGGCACCTCGTTGTGGGACTGCTTCTCTTTCTAAAGTGATACAAAAGCAGAGGAGTACTGCTGTAAATACATAGCACTTTTGCCTAGTTAGATTTGTTGTATATATGGTTCTTTAGTTTTTATCTTGCTAGGCATAAATTGTAATGTTACTCTCCCCAGATTGGACCTCTTTTGTCTGCATAAACCTTCTCTGAATTTATAGCAATTGTGTGTGGGGTGAGAGAAAATTAGCCCAGAGTAAACCCACAACATTTTTGGTGAAGAATGGGGGTAGAGACTGCCAGGATGTGTGGGGACCAGATTAGACCACGACACCAAATTACATTTGAAACATAATTTTAAATTAGGAAATTCCAAAAGACAAAATGCTCCTAAAAAAAACCCAAAACCAGAAAAACCCAAGCAAATTACAAAAGCACCTTACCATCCCTAAGCAAATACCTTCAAAATTCCTGCATTCGAGTGTAATCCTCTTCGTGGCCCCATAGGGCTGTGGTCCTTCAGATACCAAAGCTGGTCTTTCAATTAACCTAAAAAACCTTGAAAGATCTCCTTCCATGAAAGAAAGGAGAGCTGTTATTCCCTTGAATCCCAGCTGGTGAATGAGCTCCCTGACCACAGGCTGGAGCTAATATACCCCTGCCTAGTCCCACCTCCCTTCCCATCAGACCCCAGGAAAAGGGAGGAGCCAATTACCACAGAGTATAAAGGCTCTCTGGCAGTCCCTGGTGGTCTAGTGGTAAAGGCGCCATGCTATCACTGTGGAGACCCGGGTTCGATTCCCGGTCAGGGCCACTCCCGGGCAGGTGGGGCTCGTTAGCCCTTAAAGGCAACCCACCTACGTCCTAAGGACCTCGCTGCCACTGTCCAAGCTCGCTTGGCCCCGGCAGATGAACCTTAGGATTAAAGGGTGGGCTCAGTTCCGCGCACACTGTGTCTCACCTAAAAAAATCCAATGCGCAGGCTGGAAGGTGTAAAGACCTTCCCCGGATCTTCGCTCGCGAAGACTGGCCATTATAAAGGCTCTCTGGGGAGCAGCACCTTGATTTTCAAGCTCAGCATGTGTAAAGGTTGTGCTGCAGGAAAGACTGCTAATGAGAAGAAAGACCCCTGCTCTCTTTCTGCAGCTAGAATCAGCAGAGACCAGGTAAGAAACTAAACTTTTTGTTTCTTAGACGGAGAGAGAAAAAGATAAGCAACCTAGAAAGGCAGGGGAAAAAGTAACTGAGCAGAGAAGGAGAAAGGGTGGGGGACCAACATGGGCACTCCATAGGCAGCAAAAGCTACCTATCCTGGCATGTCTTCTTCAGGAGAAATCCTCAGCTGTGTTCAGTTTGGGGTCTCAGATGTCCAATTTCATTCCAAGGCACCTGCAAATGAGCTAGAACCCTTTCCCCAGAAAAAAACTTCCTCACCCCCAGGATCCCCAAGTGCATGAAGTGTGTACCCTGGGTGCTGCATAGGCTGTGAGAACTTTCTGTCCTGGTATCTGCTGTCTGGGAGGAATCTTCAGCGGTGATGAATTGGGGGGCGGTCAGACTGCCATTTTAAGTGCGGGCTCGTGCGAGTGCACGACGGCCTTTTCCTCGGGAGATGTGTGGTGGTCACGGAGGTGGGCGGTGTGACTCTCCGGGAGCGGCGACAGCTTTCTGCCCTGGGCCGGTTTGCCTGGGAGGAACCTTCAGACACATTTAAGTGTCTAAATCGTACATCTGAGTTTGGGGCGGGACTCGGCTAGTGAACAAAACCCCGTTCCCCCAGAAAAGAAAGCCCTTACCCTCTGGTTATCAGGTGTAGGTTGTAAAGCACTCTGTGGGAAGTAAGAGCTCACAGTCCTGATGCCTTGTATCTGGAGGGAATCTTCATATGACTTCAGTTTCCCGAGTCCCGCCACCTACTTTGCTGCAGGACTCCTATGAGTGAATGGCTGTGGCAGACAAAAAAAACACTCGCTCGGTAGGTTGGCAGGCGACAGGCACTTTAGGAACGGCAGGCTTAGCTTTATAGTCTTTTCTTCCCTTGGTGCATATACGTGCTATAATTGGTTGGTTAAGTGTTTCTGTTCGCATGGCGTGCTTAGTCTTTCGATAGGTGGTCGGTGTTCTTGCGTGTGCTGGCAAAGCTCAAAATGATGCCTATTTTTTACTGTAGTTTTTCTTCCCTTTCTGCTCTCCTGCCTTGGTGCTGTTTACGTTCTTTTACAAGCTCACAGCTGTAACTGATTAAATTCAAGGCCTAAGCTGTCTACAGCCCAGCTGTTTCCAATAAATGACCGCTCTCTTGCCCAGCAAAAAAAGCTCTTAAATTCAAGGTCTCAAGTCTAGTTAGTGAGAGACCCCTGCCTTTGCCCGTGCAGCAAAATCATCTGGGCCTGGAACCTTTTGTTTCAGAGTGATCTTTGTCTGTACTCAGTCTCAGGACTTGGACTGCAATTTTGGTCCCAGTCTGCTGTGAGAAAATGACAAATCTTTCCCCGAATAAGGAAGCCTGTACCCTCAGGATCTCAGGTGCAATTGGTGAGAGACCCAGGACATTCCATGAGCAGCAAGAGCGCTCTGTCTTTTGACTTTTTGTCTGGGAGAAATCTTCATCCCCGTTCAATTTGGGGAACCTAAGCAACTATCTTGATGCAGCACTCCTGCAAGAAAAGAACAGATCTTACCTACAGGAAAAAACCCCACATACCCTACGGGTCTCAGGTGCAGGTGGTGGGGTACCTCAGGCACTCCATGGACAGTAACAGCTTTCTGAGGTGGCACCTTTTGTCTGAGAGGAATGTTGACGGTGTTCACTTTGGGAGCTCAGACTGGGATATCCAGTACAGATCTCCTGTAATCAAATGAGACACTGTTCCCCCAGGTAAAGAAGCCCTTACCTTCTGTCTCTCAAGGGCAGCTGGTGGGTGCCTCCATTGGCAGCAAGAGCTTTCTGTAGTGGCACCTTTTGTCTGGGAGGAATGTTCATCTGTATTCAATTTGACAAGTCAAACCACCTATCTCAGTCCACGACTCCTGCAAGCAAATGGTATTCCTGTCCGCCAGGAAAAAAAGCCCTTACCCTCAGGGTCTCAGGTGCGTGAATTGGACACCCTTGACAGTCCGTGGGCAGCGAGAACTTTCTATCCTGTCACCTTTTGTCTGGGAGGAATCTTGTTCCTTGTTCCATTTGGAATTGGACTGGCAATTGCAGTGCGGGGCTCCTGCAAGATAACAACAGCCCTTTCCCCCAGGAAAGAAAGCCCTTACCCTTGGGATCTCAGGTGCGGTTGATAGACCAGCATACTGCTCCATGGACAGCAGGAGCTTTCTTTGATGGCATCCTTTGTCTGGGAGGAATCTTAGTCATCATTCAATGTTGGATGGCAGACGGACAATATCGGCACAGGGCTCCTGCGAGCGAACCGCAGACCATTTCCCCATGAAAGGCAGCTAGTAGCCGCACGCTCTCAGATGCAGGTGAGGGGAGACCCGTGACACTCCATGGGGCAGCCACACATTTTTGTCCTTCCATCTTTTGTATGGGGAGTATGTTGATACGTGTACACCTTTGACAGTCATACTGTAATGACTAGCACAACTCTCTGAAAACCAAACAACAGCCCTTTCCCACAGAACTGGGCTGTTAGGAGTTAGTGGGCCAGGCTGAGCCCACCGTAGGAGAGAGCTTTGTGTGGTGGCAGAACTTGTCTGGGAGGAATCTTCATCCTTACTTGATATTGGAATCAGACTGGCAATTTCAGAGCAGGACTTCTGCAAGCAAACAACAGCCATTTCTCCCAGGTAAAAAAGGTGCTTATCACCAAGATATCAAGTGCAGTTGGTGGGCTAGGCTAGGAACACCATAGGAAAATGAAGCTTCCTGTCTTAGAATGTTTTGTCTGGAATGAATCTTCGTCCGTATTCAGTGAGGTCAGTCGGCCTGGCAATTTCAGCGCAGGACTCCTGCAAGTGCACAAAAGCCCTTTCTCCCAGGAAAGCAAGTGCCTACCCTTGGGGTATCAGGTGCACTTGGTGGGCCAGCCTGGGAACTCTATGGGTGGCAGCAGCTATCTGTCCAGCCACCTTCTGTTTGAAAGGAATCTTTGTCCGTATTCAGTTTTGGAATCGGACTGGCAATTTCAGTGCAGGATTCCTGCAAGTGAACAACAGCCCTTTCTCCCAGGAAAGAAAGTGCTTATACTCAGGAAAAACATCCAGGGTTTGGGCCAGCCTGGGCACTCCACGGGCAGCAGGAGTTTTCTCTCCAGCAACATTTTGTCTTGAAGGAAACTTCCACTGGATTCAATTTTGGAGTTGCACTGGCAACTTTAGCGCAGGATTCCTCCTGCAAACAACAGGCCTTTCTCCCAGGAAAGAAAATGAGTACCCCTGGGGTCGAAGGTCCAGGTTGTGGGCCAGCCTCCACACTCCATTTTCAGCAGGAGCTTTCTGTCCAGCCACCTTCTCTCTGGAACAAATCTTTCTTTGTATTCGATTTGGTAGTCAGACTGGCAATTTCAATACAAGACTCGTATAAGGAAAAAACAGCCCTTTCACGCAAGAAAGAAAGTGCTTACCCTGGGGCTCTCAGGTGCGGATAGTGGGCCAGCCTGGGCAATCCATGGGCAGCAGGAGCTTTCTCTCCTTGCACCTTTGCTCTGGGAGAAATCTTTGTTCTTATTGAATTTTGGAGGCAGAGTAGCAACATTAGCACAAGATTCCTGCAAGCAAACAACAGCCCGTTCTCCCAGGAAAGAAAGTGCTTACCCTCAGGGTAAAATGCCCAGGTTGTGGGCCAGCCTGGCATCTACGTGGGCAGCAGGAGCTTTCTCTCTGCACATTTTGATTGGGGAGCAATCTTTGTCCATATTTCATTTTGGCATTCAGACTGGCAATTTTGGCACAGGATTCCTGCAAGCAAACAAAATCCTCTTTCTCCTAGAAAAGCAAAATGCTTACCCTCAGGGGCTTAGTTGCAGTTGGTGGGCCTGTCTGGGCGCTCCACGGGCAGCAGAAGCTTTCTGCGATGGCACCTCTTGTCTGGAAGGAATCTTTGTTCTTATTCAATTTTGGAGTCAGAGTAACAATATCAGTGCAGGATCACTGCAAGAAAACAACCCATTCCCCAGAAAAAAAAGTGCTTACCCTCAGGGTAAAATGTCCAGGGTTGTAGGGCATCCTCAGCACTCCATGGGCAGCAGGAGCTTTCTGTCCTTGCACCTTTTGTCTGGGAGAAATCTTTGCTTGTATTGAACTTTGGAGTCAGAGTGGCACTTTCAGCGCAGGATTTCTTCAAGCGAACAAAAGCCCTTTCTCCCAGGAAAGTAAGTGCTTATGCTAGGGGTATCAGGTGTAGTTGGTGGGCCAGCCTGGGAACTCTATGGGTGGCAGCAGCTATCTGTCAAGCCACCTTTTGTTTGAGAGGAATCTTTGTCTGAATTTAATTCTGGAATTGCACTGGCAATTGCAGTGCACGATTCCTGCAAGGAAAAAACAGCCCTTTCTCCCAGGAAACAAAGTGCTTACCCTCAGGGTAAAATGTCCAGCTTTTGGGCCAGCCTGGACACTCCACGGGCAGCAGGAGCTTTCTCTCTGCACATTTTGATTTGGGAGAAATCTTCGTCCGTATTTAATTTTGGCACTCAGACTGGCTATTTCAGCGCAGGATTCCCGCAAGCGAACGACAGCCCTTTCTCCCAGGAAAGAAAGAGCTTACCCTCAGGGTCCAGAGTGCAGTTGGTAGGGCAGCCTGGGCGCTCCATGGGCAGCAGGAGCTTTCTGTGATGGCACCTCTTGTCTGGGAGCAATCTTTGTTCTTAGTCCATTTGGAAGTCAGAGTAGCAACATCAGTGCAGCATTCCTGCAAGCGAACGACAGGCCTTTCTCCCAGAAAAGCAAGTGCTTACCCTTGGCTTTAAGGTCTGGGTTGTAGGTCGGCCTGGGCACTCCCCGGGTAGAAGGAGCTTTTGGCCTGGCCACCTTCTGTCTGGGAGGAATCTTTGTTTGTCTTCAATTTTTGCAGTCGGACTGGCAATTTCAGCGCAGCGCTCCTGCAAGCGAACCAAAGTCCTTTCTGCTAGGACAAGGAGGGCTTACCCCCAAGGTCTTACGTGCACTTTGTGGGGCAGCCTGGGCCCTCCAAGGGAAACAGGAGCTTTTTGTGATGGCTCCTTTTCTTTGGGAGCAATCTTCATTCCTATCCCATTTTGTTGTCAGACTAGCAATTTCAGCACAGGATTATTGCAAGCCAACTACAGCGCTTTCTCCTAGGAAAGAAAATGCTTACCCTCAGGGGCTTAGGTGCAGCTGGTGGGCTGGTCTGGGCAATCCATGGGGAGCAGGAGCTTTCTCTGATGGCACCTCTTGTCTGGGAGGAATCTTTGTTCGGAGTCAATTTTGGAGTCTGAGTAGCAATATCAGTGCAGGATTCCTGCAAGCCAACAACAAGCCTTTCTCCAAGGAATCCAAGGGCGTAGTCTCAGGGTCTCAAGTGCACTTGGTGGGCCGGCCTTGGCACTCCATGGACACCAGCAGCTTTGTCTCCTTGCGCGTTTTCTCTGGGAGCAATCTCTGTTCATTTGGAGTTTTGGTGTCCGACTGGCAATTTCAGTGCGGCACTCCTGCAAGCAAACAAAAGCCTGTTCTCTCCGGAAAGAAGGTGCTTACCCTGGGGGTCTCAGGTTTAGTTAGTGGGCCAGCCTGGCCACTCCATGGGGAGCAGAACCTTTCTGTCTTGCCACCTTCTCCCTGGGAGAAATCTTCGTCGGTGTTTAGATTCATTAGTCAGACTTGCTATTTCAGCGCAGGATTCCCGCAAGCGGACGACAGCCCTTTCTCCCAGGAAAGAAAGAGCTTACCCTCGGGGTCAAGGGTCTGGGTTTTAGGCTGTTCTGGGCACTCCACGGGCAGCAGGAGCTTTCAGTCCAGCCACCTTCTGTCTGGGAAACACCTTTCTTCATATTCAATTTTGGCATTCAGACTGGCAATTTCAGTGCAGCATTTTGGCAAGCGAACGACAGCCCTTTCTGCCGGGAAAGGGCGTGCTTACCCTCGGGGTCTAAAGTTCAGTTTGTGGGCCAGCATGGGCAATCCATGGGCAGCAGGATCTTTCTCTCATTGCACCTCTTGTCTAGGAGGAATCTTTGTTCATCCTGAAGTTTAGAGTCAGACTGGCAATTTTAGCGCAGGATTCCTTCAAGTGAACGACAACCCTTTCTCCCAGGAAAGAAAGTGCTTACTGTCGTTTTCAAGGGTCCGGTTTGTAGGCCAGCCTGGGCCCTCCATGGACAGCAGGAGTGTTCTGCCCAGCCACTTTCAGTTTTGGAGGAATCTTTGTTTGTATTCACTTTTGGCAGTCAGACTGGCAGTTTCACCGCTGGACTCTTGCAGGAGAACAACGGCCCTTTCTCCCAGGAAAGAAAGCCTGTAGCCTTTGGCTGTTATTGAGTATTTGGTGGACCGGCCTGGGCACTCCATGGGCACCAAGAGGTTTCTCTATTGGCTCCTTTTCTCTGGGAAGAACTTTCATTCTTATTCCATTTTGGACTCGGACTGGCAATTTCAACACAGGTTATCTCCGAGCGAACAACAGCCCTTTCTCCTGGCAAAGAAAGCGCTTACACTCGGGGTCAAAGTCCAGCTTGTCGGCGGGCCTCCACACTCCATGGGTAGCAGGAGATTTCTGTCCAGCCACCTTCTTTCCTGGAGGAATCTTTGCCTGGATTCAATTTTGAAGACTGCCTGGTAATTTCAGTGTAGGATTCCTGCAAGGGAACAACGGCCCTTTCTCCCAGGAAAGAAAGTGCTTACCCTCGGCCTCTCAGATACACTTGGTGAACCAGCCTGGGCAATCCACGGGCAGCATGAGGTTTCTGTCCTGCCCCCGTCTTTCTGGGAAGAATCTTTGTATTCACTTTTGGCAGTCAGACTAGCAGTTTCACCGCTGGACTCTTGCAGGAGAACAATGGCCCTTTCTCCCAGGAAAGAAAGTGCTTACCTCGGCCTCTCAGGTACACTTGGTGGGCCAGCCTGGGCAATCCACGGA